CACACACACACACACACACACACACACACACACACACACACACACACACACACACACACACACACACACACACACACACACACACACACACACACACACACACACACACACACACACACACACACACACACACACACACACACATGGAACGTTTCTTTACACGTATTTAATCAATGGTTTATAAGATCATAATACATTTTTGGGTAATTTTTCAGAATACCTTCGCATAACTGATTGTGGCGAATTTTGGAATCAATGTATTCCTCTTCCCTGCTTTCCAAATATCAAAATTATGCCGCGGAAACTCCCCCATTAGCGACAATCTCGTCATTGATTGTAGGGAAGAGTATGAAAGGTACCAGAGAAATTGTGGGGTTAAATATATAAAAGTTATGCACTTGCCAGAGACTAAGTTCCCAACTTCACAGCACAAATTCTATTCAACAATATAATTGAGGTAATTAGGCCCGAGGGAAGGATTGATGGGCCTACCCCATAACCCCTGCAAACATTATCTTCACTTCGGTTTGCAGGGGAAGAGACCTGAAATCTGGGAGCAGTGAGTGGACTTAGGCAGAGTGCGGCCCTCTACACAATCTTTCACCTTTATTTGTGTCTGCTTATTGTTTCTTGTACTAATACTGATGCATGAAATAATCTGCACAGACAAAGAATATCGACAGAAATTGAGAAAATAGGTTGCGACTAATGCCGTATGGAGAATAATTCCACGGTGATCAGGTGTGGACCAGTGGGGGCAGAATTCCTGACAGGGTGATATGAAGGTCGGATGGTTTTTGGGTCATATGGCAATATTTGTGGACTCCCAGAAGTGGCAGTATTGATAGGGACTTAGTCTCAAGCTCAGATTCACTGCATAAAAAGTTACTAATACTTTCATTTGTATAATTTATATAATTTGCAATGGAAAATAACAGATTCATGCATATTACATTGTAAATTTAAATATTTGATTAAAAAATAACTAATGGTTGCAAGTTTAGAGGGCTACATGAAACTAAAAATGGTGTTAATTATACAAATAGTGTTATATACTTAAAGGAAGACTGCATGAAGATAAGGAAAACACAGGGAACAGAGGTGATATAATCTGCACAGGTAAAGAATATGTGTACAGCTTGGCATTCAGGCAGTAGGGCAACAAATCTCTTACTTGGGTTAGATGAAACTTCTATGGCTCCTTGACAGTTGACTGACACTTAAAGAACAGTCCAAGCTCTACTTTGCAATAATATTCATGGGTAGGCAGTGGCAACTGCAAGACAACTGTATTTCTATATCCTTAAAAAACTAGGCTATGTAGTTCAAAATTTTTGTATATATTAACCAAGGTAAGACAAAGGTTAATCTTTGCATAATAAACTAGGTGAAGATGATATGCTTTTAGAGGACAAAGTGCTGCAGTCATTGGTACAAGAAATAATCAGCAAACACAAACGATAATGCCACAAATAATGGAAAAAGATCATAGAAAGCACAGATCACAGCCTAAGTCCACTTGGTGCTCCTGAGTTTCAGGAGTATCTTGCCATGCATAACTGAGGGCATGCCCAGTGATGGCAGTTACAGCAACTTAGAGTGCTGAATAGATTTTGTGATGTAGAGTTGGGGACTTAGTCTCAGGCAAATCCATCCATACTGTAAAGATTTACCAAGACCGGTAGCATACCTTTATCTCAAAAATCCTAGTTAAGAACAGTTTCTTTTATTTTTATTATTATTATTTTCCATTATCACTATTGATCCATTTCCATATAAGATACTCTAAGAAAACACCCATCATTATATATCTCACAGAGGCAGTACTAAATTATGTCATTGCATTTGGCCAATGAGTGTGTGCAGTGAGATACTAGATAGAGCCAGATAAATAATTATTTGTATTATTTACTTCATATTGTTATAATTAGCAGAAAAAAAATCAGGTTTATTTTAGTGGAAAAAGTCAGTTTCATTTTTGGATTCAACAGGCTGAAGGGAGGTGGTGCTACCAATCCTTTCAAGTATATATTGATCAAGTATCATTGTAATACCAAGAGAAAAATATATTAGGGTTCAAAATGAATAGATTGTGATTTGAAAACTTCCTAATTGTGTTATATTTTATAACTCTTTTGTAAAAATTTTATCTATATTTTGACTTTCTTCCTCAGGTACTACTGTGACTACTGCGACACATACCTCACACATGACTCGGTAAGAGCTGATTGAGTCATTATATCATATAGTCAATAGCATAACACATAGTCAGATGTCATAAATATGTTTCTAAATATATGAGTAAATTTCTGCTCCCGAGATAACATATCTAGAACAAATAGTTCCCTAATTTTCTTTTACAGCCATCTGTGCGAAAAACACATTGCCAGGGGCGAAAACACAAAGAAAACGTAAAGATTTATTATCAGAAATGGATGGAAGAGCAGGCACAGAATCTCATTGATGCAACAAGTGAGTATTTGAATACCTGATATTCTTAAAGTTTCAAGGCTTTCCATTTTAAAGATATTGTATGGTTATATGTTATATTTTTCAGTTAAACTTTGTTCATTTATACCTTTTTACTACTTCTTTTGAGTACCACAATAAATTTGTTTTAACTAGATGACAATACAAGTTAAAAAAAAAAAAAAAAAATCAATGCATCTTCTGACATGGCTATTTTCTTTAACAGCTGCGGCATTCAAGGCAGGAAAGATCCCCAAGGGAGCAGCCATTCCTCCTCCAAACAACATGCAAGGTGAGTTTAAGCAAAGAATTCTGGATTTATTATATGTTAGAAGAAATGTATGTAGGAAAGTTTTTTAACCCAGTGTTGCTGGGAAAATGCTGTGCTCATTTTATAATATTTTGTGAAATGTCTCTGCACACAGAAGGTTTTGCAAGTGCTTAACCACAAAGGAGTCAATTAGTAGATCTTGTGAGCTTATTTGATTTGAACTTGAATTTGCGAGAAATTATTATTATTATTATTATTATTATTATTATTATTATTATTATTATTATTATTAATATTAATAATATTATTAATATTATTAATATTATTAATATTATTATTATTATTATTATTATTATTATTATTATTATTATTACTACTACTACTATGGTCTGTTGGTCTTGGGTTAAAGGTTATAGATTTATCATGATCTCTTGCACTTTTTAGTGTCATAAATGCTTAAAGCTGTAAAAAAAATAAAATAAATAAAATGCAAGTATTGCTATTTGTATATCTTGATTTTGAATACTCTGGTATAACCAATTTTTTCTCCCTCACAGCTGGTGGTGGACCAGCTGGGCCAGGTGGGCCTGGAGGTCCTGGTGGTCCAGGAGGGCCAGGTGGGCCACAGAACATGGGTGGCCCAGGTGGCCCACCCAGAGGTCCTGGCATGGGCAACATGGGTCCTCCAGGCATGACAGGAGGAAATATGCCAGGGAATATGGGAATGCCACCCATGGGGCCAAGAGGACCAATGATGGGTCCTCCCATGATGGGACCCCCTGGGCCTGGCATGCCCCCAGGAATGATGCCAGGTGAGGCTGTCTGTTTCTGTGTCAGATAGGCCTAAGTGGTAATTGTAAATCAATCAAATTTATTAGCAGTAATTCGAGTGATCAATGTTAAACTTGTTAGTAGAGCTGGCCAAAATTGTATATAGATTAAGAGTATGTGTAACAGTTCATCATTCCTACATTTTTCCAAATCATCTAGCTTAACCCTTCCAATGTGGTGACCTCCTGGTAACTGGAGTTGCCTGTATTCTTACTGTCTCAGTCAAGTAGAAGCAAGTTTTTGCCTCACAAGTGTCAGTGGTCACTTCCCACTTCAGTTCTTGCTTTGTGTGTGTGTTGTTATTTTTTTTTATCCAAGGAGATTCATATTTATCTGTTCAAATTCTCTTGCCTCCCATGAGGATATTGGGCCATCAACACCTGGATTTATAGGGAATTCTGGGACTTGTACTTGAAGGATTAATTTTTTAGCTTCTTTTCTTGCTTCTCCTTACCTTGCAGTTATTTTACACTCTGATTGTGCCAGCTACCTTTTGTAGGTTTCCAGATAGATAGCAACTGCATTTGATATGATTTAATTTTACTTGAACCAAATAATGTCATTAATTTTTTTGTGAACCAAATACTGCCTCTTTCTAAACCTCTCCTTTTCTCTCCTATCAGGGCACAATAACTAGATACCTCTTTGTATATTGCAGGCATGCGTCCCCCAATGGGCCCCATGGGACCAATGATGATGGGTCCAGGGGGCATGCGACCTCCTATGATGGCAGGGCCTCCGCAGATAAGACAATAACAAGAGTAGGCCCAATGGTCACTTGCCTTTGGGTGCTGTCTATATTAGCTCTTGAATGTAAACTTTATGCCGTTCCCTGTTTATACCCTGTTTTGTAGCAGACGAGGTCATGTCAAGAGGGAAACCTGTTATCTTGCAGTACAAAGTGTCACAAGAGTTTTCCACGAGTTTGAGAATGTGTGACCTTGGATATTTTTTAATATGTTGTGGATAAAAGGACCTATCATTATCATGGTAGTTCTGTGATTTTTTTTTTTCTTTCTTTCTTGTGCTTGTCGTCAAATGTACTTTTTTTTATGATGGCAGGAAATTTCCCACCGTGTGGGTAAAAAATAAAGTGAAGCCTTTCCATTGGGATGAAAAGATATTTCCAAATTATATCATAGCTAAAATGTTTGATTTTGAGTGTTCTGGAAGTTGCTGTATGAATTTACCTGAGCAAAATCATGGATGGTCGTTAATGACTTCGTGCATTTTCTGTTGACGATGATGTAACAGATGTCACTTATTCACCAATTTTTTATTAAATATAATTATCATATTGTGGTTTCTTTTGTTCCAGTTATGTGTTAAAATTATTGCTTTTTTATAGCAAATGTATTACAGATATTATATCGTATGCTTTACATTACATTATGTTTCAAGTAATTTTTCTTAGTTAATACTGATTCAGTTTCAAAGGATGTATCAGCCATGTTAGTTTTATTAGCCAGTTATTCAATGAAATGGAAGTAAGGCTATATTATTGCTGTTACAAACTTTCAGCATTTCATATCAGTGATTCAGCCTTAAAAACACTTGATTTTCTAAGAAAAGTCTGACCCCCCGCTTGTTTTGGAGATAGAAGAATACACTGGAGAAACCTCTCTCTTTCATTTAGAACTTGATAAAATTCTTTTCTTCACAAGAATGGAATTCCTGCAGGTATTTTATTCAGATGATTCTTATGTGCAGTTGTAGAAGAGCTATCATGTATTGAACGTGTTTGCTAGTTCGAATTTATCAAGTGAAGATTTTTGCAGAACCAAAGGGAAAACACCATATTCATATACATTTATATACATATATAGATATAGGTATATATAACCCCCCAATCCTTTGCTCATTGTTGTCATGGGGGGCTTAGGAGACGTGGATCGAGGCCCAATGTAGGGGATTGCCGGTACCTTGTTCCTCACTGCTCACTTCAACTACTTTAACACAATCTTTTCTTCTCCTTTCCTTTTCCTTTCCATCATTCCCTTGTTCTGTCCACTATTCCTAATCGTTGAACTAATTTCTGTGGTTTTCTCCACAGACCAATCCTTGTCTACGACAAGGATTGGTCAGATTGTGGAGAAGACCTACTTGGCTGCCTCGTGGACTATGATGCAGTATCAGTAATATGTTACACCATTCCTCCTCAGTGCCACCGTAAGTCCACCAATATTGCCAAAATTAGTTTCCATAGACATGACGTCCCCTTTAATGTTGACATTGGCGGAGAGGACCCTCATGTCCGACCACATCAACCCCCCCCCCCCCCCCATCAGTGTCAGAATTATTGTTGTCTGGGTCATCCTGCCCATGCCCTCTGTGTGCCCAATCTGGCCACAATCAATCAAAATGGTCTGCACGTTCACGCCCATGTGTCAATTGTGGTGGCTCTCACGATGTATTTTATAGTGGCTGCCCTACCTACAGGTTTGGGTATGAGTTGGTAAATCCAGATTCAGATTTGCCTCGCTTCATGTTAGGCCAGACAGGAAGCCCTACTCCATCACTGTTCGTTCTGCCCCTTCCCCCCCAGGATGTTTCCTCCTCATCCCACTTCTACCCCTCCCTCTCGGAGCCAACTCCTTTTGCCATTCTAAATCTCCACCGCTATTCCAGACACTCCAGTCACTACTTCTCCGGTACCCACCCCTCTCCCCCCTCGCTCAACTCATCGCTCAAGATAAGCTAACCGCTTCATCCCATCTTCATCAATCTCCCTCCGTCCCTCAAACCTCTGTCCCTGTTTCTCCCCCTTATAAGAAAACCTATATCTATATCTATATCTATATCTATATCTATAGATAGATAGATAGATAGGTAGATAGGTAGATAGATAGATAGATAGATAGATAGATAGGTAGATAGGTAGATAGGTAGATATATACACACACACACAATTTACATACATGTATGTATGTGTTTGTCTGTGTACACATTTCGTCACCATAGAAATACCTTTTAAAAAGGTGTAATGTGGACCAGAACCGCAATAGTCTATTTCTATATTCTAAATATAATACTAAAATGTTAATACCTACATTTTCTTATCAAAGCAAAGTTAGTACAAAAGAGGAATGCTAATATCCGATGTTGTGAGTGTGGAAGGGATGAAGTAGTGGATATTGGGAGAGGAGGGATGTTTCCTGAAGATTGAGTATTGACCTGGATGGATAATTTAGACTGGGCTGATGTGATAGTAGATATTGAGGAGGAGGTAGTAGTACCAGTGCTCAGAGTCAAAGGAGAGCCTGGGATCAAGGAACCGAAATTGAAATCAGTGGGGCTATTTGATAAAGGGGTAAACCTTAATGCCCCTATTACAGTCTTCATGAATGGCCATGATAAACCTAGAATATGTTAAGGAGAGAAATATTCCACACCTAAGGGTCCCCTTCAGGGGCAAGGGCTAAACAATTTAACAGGGGAATACCATGACCATGGCTCAGCCTTTCATCCTTTCAACACACCTTAGGAAGTGTATAGTTGAAGGGGTTGGAGAAGAGTGCGAAATGAATGTGCAAAGTTGTGGACTGAGACCCAAAGAAGGGGATATCCCCTGCATTCGGTCCCACTCTCCATCTCGTCTCCTTAGCACCGCCAGAGCAACAATGGACATGGGATTGGGGAGGGGATATATATATACATGCATACATACATACATATATATATATATAAATTAAATATATATATATATATATATATATATATATATATATATATATATATATATATATACATATATATATATATATATATATATATATATATATATATATATATATATATATATATATATATATATATGTATATATATATATATATGTATATATATATATATATGTATATATATATATATATATATATATATATATATATATATATATATATATATATATATATATATATATATATATATATATATATATATGAAATATGGAATAATGCAATGCCGCATTTATATGTATATATAACAATCCTCCCTGACCTGGCCACCAACCTAGGTCAGTCCGGGTATGAGACTGGATGGCCAGTACTAAACCAACCATGCCACGTGACCCACTAAAAGGAGTGTGCAACTAGGATCTAACTAGCTCCATAGACATTACCTATCTACTCATACATGAGTAATGATAGCAAGGTTTTACACACACTCCCTATGGGCAATCGGTGGAAATTGATTTAGTAATTCGAAACCGAAGTCAGATATCCTGAGGTATATATATGAAAGATGGAATAATGCAATGCCGCATTGATATGTATATATCCCAATGGCGCCGGGTGTACAAAAAAAAAAAAAAAAAAACTACGCTTAAACAAACAAAGGCGGCACGCCGACTTTGAGCGCGTGAGTAGGGGACATCAGCCCGAATCACTGGCTCGCTGCGCTTTGGCGCGCCGCCGGCTCGTTCGGCTGCACGCCAGCTTTCGAGCTCTTTGTTTACACGCCGATCGGCGTCACCCGGCACGAAGGGGTTAAAACAATCCTCCCTGACCTGGCCACGAACCTAGGTCAGTCCGGGTATGAGACCGGAGGGCCAGTACTAAACCAACCATGCCACGCGACCCACTAAAAGGAGTGTGCAACTAGGATCTAACTAGCTCCTTTTAGTGGGTCGCGTGGCATGGTTGGTTTAGTACTGGCCCTCCGGTCTCATACCTGGACTGACCTAGGTTCGTGGCCAGGTAAGGGAGGATTGTTATATATTCATATCAATGCGACATTGCATTATTCCATTCATATTCATATATTTATATATATATATATATATATATATATATATATATATTTATATATATATATATATTTATATATATTTATATATATTTATATATTTATATATATATACATACATATTTATATATATATACAAATATATTTATATAAATATACGTATACATTTATATATATATATACGTATACATTTATATATATATACGTATACATTTATATGTATATATATATATATACGTATACATTTATATATATATACGTATACATTTATATATATATACGTATAAATTTATATATATATATATACGTATACATTTATATATATATATATATACGTATACATTTATATATGTATACGTATACATTTATATATATGTATACGTATACATTTATATATATGTATACGTATACATTTATATATATGTATACGTATACATTTATATATATGTATACGTATACATTTATATATATGTATACGTATACATTTATATATATGTATACGTATACACTTATATATATGTATACGTATACACTTATATATATGTATACGTATACACTTATATATATGTATACGTATACACTTATATATATGTATACGTATACACTTATATATATGTATACGTATACACTTATATATATGTATACGTATACACTTATATATATGTATACGTATACACTTATATATATGTATACGTATACACTTATATATATGTATACGTATACACTTATATATATGTATACGTATACACTTATATATATGTATACGTATACACTTATATATATGTATACGTATACACTTATATATATGTATACGTACACTTATATATATGTATACGTATACACTTATATATATGTATACGTATACACTTATATATATGTATACGTATACACTTATATATATGTATACGTATACACTTATATATATGTATACGTATACATTTATATATATGTATACGTATACATTTATATATATGTATACGTATACATTTATATATATGTATACGTATACATTTATATATATGTATACGTATACATTTATATATATATACGTATATATTTATATATATATACGTATATATTTATATATATATACGTATATATTTATATATATATACGTATATATATATATATATATATACGTATATATATATATATATATATATATATATATATATATATATATATATATATATATATATATATATATACATATATATATATATATATATATATATATATATATATATATATATATATATATATATACATATATATTTATATATATATACATATATATTTATATATTTATATATATTTACATATATATTTATATATTTATATATATATATACATATATATTTATATATTTATATATATATACATATATATTTATATATTTATATATATATACATATATATTTATATATTTATATATATATGCATATATATTTATATATATATATATACATATATATTTATATATTTTTAGATATATACATATATATTTATATATATATATACATATATATATATATATATATATATATATAT